TTAAGTGATTCTCCTGCCTCCGCCTCCCAAGTAGCTGGGACTACAGGCGCCCGCCACAACGCCCAGCTAGTTTTTGGTTGCAACCGTCATTGTTTTTGGTGGGCCCAGGATGGATTCGAACCACCAGCTCAGGTGTATGTGGCTGGCGCCTTAGCCCCTTGAGCCACAGGGCTGAGCCCCAATAGTTCTGATAGTAAAGGACTTAATTTTCATCTGCACTCATAAGATGTTATGGTAAGCATGAAAACTATCATTGTTATTACATTTTACAAATGAGGACACCTGGGCTCAGAGAGGTGAAAGGATTTGTCCAAATCTACCCAGCTGAGTCAGGATAAGAACTTAAGTTCTGCCTTTGATCCTGGCTACCTTCCACTCACAGTACCACACACATGTGCTTCATAAGGAGCCCCACTGGGCATGGGTTCTTGGTCTGTGATGTGACTGACCCTCTGAAGGGCATTCAGGTTAGGAGAGAGAGAGCACTAGAGCAGAGACACGATTACGACTAGGGTGAGGGAGGCTCTTGTGTCTGTTTCCAGGCCCATGGAACAGCCTTCTGCAGGAGCCAGTCCCAGGATTTCCATGTGCAACAGCAGTAATCTAACAAGGCCTGATGGTCCCATCTCAGTGGGAACAGATCTACCACCAGGATGGGCATGTGCTGTCCTGAGACCAGGGTGCAGTCTTCTTGGAGAGTGCTGGGATGACTCAGCGCTCCAAGTTCCCACTGCTGACCAGCTCTGTTTACACCTCTGGTGTGACTACAGTGCAGGGCTGCCAGCCGACAAAGCATCGCTTCATGTTACTCTGCCCTGCTTGGTCCCTCTGGACACTGACTTCCAGCCTCTCAGAAGTAACCCTAAGTACTGACCAGAAATGGGAAACGTGACTGCTAAGAGGAACTGAGGACCCAGGTGGGCCTGGGTCTGCACAGATAGATGGAGGAAGCCAAATCTGAGAGGTGTATGGTTCCTTCTGTGGCATGGGGTCAACCAGGAGCAGCAATCAGGTCAACTCCATCCAGAGCGGCAGGGCAGAAGCCAGAAGAGAGGCTAGTGCGGGCACCTCTGACTGGAAGTCCTTGGAAAGGGAGTAAAGTTAGGCTGGGCTGACACACTGGGAAGACAGGGAAAGGTACAGGGATGAGGTTTTCAAGAGATTTCAGAATCAGGTTAAACCAGAGTTAAGTGTCAGGGGGAAGATGCTAGAAAGCCAACGAGTGAACAAAGGCCAGAGCCAAATAAATGAGCCACAGGAGTAAAATGCAGTTAGAAGTCAAAGAACTGTGATCTTAGAGAGGTAAGGCATCTCTGTGTGTGGCAAATATCTCAGGATAGTGACAGGGGCTGGCAGGGAGCATGGCAGGGAGGACTGAGATGTTGCCAAGACGTTCAATGAAGGTGTGGTAGGTGGGAGGACAGCTTTACGCACCCCACAGGAGAAGAGTTCAGCAAAAGTCATATTCTCTAGCCTGCTGATGTCATTCTGAGCCTGGTATCATTGGAACAGGTTCCTGTTAGTGAGGGCCATGCCCGTTAGTCCTATGCCTTGAGATTTATCACCCCTATTCTGCTGACGGGGAATGGTAGAGTAGAACTTGGAGGGGCTTCAGGTCTGTCTGCTTCTTCAGCTGTGTCTCCTGCCTCGTGAGAGGTTTAATGTTATCCTTGCCAGGCAGTTGTTGTGGACTCAATGACTGAAATGCAGAAATAAGTGGCAACAACGTCTCCCTTGTGGCCTGAATACCAGGTCTTTCCCAACTCCCATCTCCCTGTGGTATGCGGATCAACAGAGGCTAGCTGCTGCTACCATGACAAGTGTGCAGTGGGAATGGCTGCAGAAAGCTTGAGGGCTCCAACTGGCCCCAGAATGTCCAGGGGAAGGGGACATGAGGGAGTGAGAAAGGGTGCAGGAACATCTACCTGTGTCTGAAGTTTATTTGAAATCTGACTTTCCCTTCAGAGTTTCTGCATTTGTTTGGATGTCTTATTTTTTTCTGCCAAGTTTTACACTCTTTCCAACAAATAAAAGCTGCACTTAATGAGCCCACTTCTGTGTGCGCCCTATCCCACATCTCCACGACACACAGGTGCAGACCCCAAACACAAGCTCTGGCTGGGGCAGGTGTCCCTTACCTCACTCTCTTCCAGTGCTGCCAAGGGTTTGTTGATGCTGTTGACAAATTTGTTAACGTGCTCGAAGTGCTTTGTCATCTCTGTGGCCAGGACCATGTCAATAATCCCCTGGCGCAGCGTCCGGTAGTCGTTTCTGTTTCAGACACAATGAGAGGGTACTGCAGATTACCTGACCAGACAGGAACTCCTGAAATAGTCTGCTACCCAGGAGTGTGTCTGCTGCAGCCACAGGTTTGATGCCACTCAGAACTGCAAGAGCCACTTTAAAAGAATGTGGAATTAGGGTTAGTGCCTAGTTCATTAGCAAGGAGGACCTGAGCAGAAGTTAAAATCAAAAGCTATGGGCAAGACTTTATAGCTATGATGCCTGTCTTGTTGTCAATCTCTGCATTGCTCTTAGGGTAAAATAAGATAGAACATTGTAGGGGTAAATGAAGCCAGTTCTACCGAAGACGGAGCTCTGTGGTTACAGAGCACGCACCCCACATGAAGGTGCCTGAGAGCCGACAGAGTTAGTGCACAGAGAGCTCTGAGAGCTGGCCTTCTCATAACTGAGAAAATCATGAGGAATGTTTGATACCTCTTCCTCCAGCCCTTGCTTTTATTTTAGTATTTTTTGAAAGGCAATCCACATAATTTAAAATTTGAAAGATATAAAACAGTGGTCCCTAATCTTTTTAGCACCAAAGACTGGTTTCATGGAAGACAGTTTTTCCACAGATTAAGCGTAAGGGATGGACGGTTTCTGGATGATTTAAGTGCATTTACTGTGTACTTTATTTCTATTCCTATTACATCATAATATATATGAAGTAATTATACAACTCATTTTGCTGCAGAGTCAGTGGGAGCCCTGCGCTTGTTTTCCTGTGACTAGATGGCCCTAACTTGTATGTGCAGCTGCTCCCCAGTGCTGGCATCACTGCCTCAGCTCCACCTCAGATCATCAGGCATTGGATTCTCGCAAGGAGCACACAGCCTCAGTCCCTTCCACACACAGTTCAGGGCAGGGGTCACGCTCCTATGAGAATCTCATGTGGTGGCTGATAGGACAGGAGGCAGTGTTTAGGTGGTGATGTGAGCAGTGGGGACTGGCTGTAAATACAGATGAAACTTTGCTTACTCGCCCCTTTGCTCACCTTCAGCTGTGGGGCCTAGCTCTTAATAGGCCACGAACTGAACTGGTACTGGTCTGTGGCCTGGGGTTGGGGACTACAGGTATAAAAGACTATGAAAAAGGCTTTATCCAGCTCCTTTTCCGCTGCCATCCAATCCCTTTCCCTGGAAAGTTAGCAGGGTCTTATATAGTTTTCTATTGATAAGTGATAAGAAAATATGAATTAAAACTACTTTACACCTCTGAAATCCTAGAACATGCCAGAAGGAAGTTCTGTAAAATGAGGAATCCACTTTTAAAAAATTTTCTTTATAAAATCCAAATTAATCAGTTATTTCCTTCCACTGCTATCTACAGGCACTGTGCTAGACACAGGGTATAGTGACAAAAGACAGGACACCATGACCTCGAAGCACTTAAGAATCTAATCAGACATTAAATAAATAATTTTAAGATAATTTTTAAAAGTTAAATGTGACACATGCTGTGAAGGAATGCAAAACTGAATGTCAGCGTGACAGACAAGGGCCGGCTTCCCCAGGGAGTGACACGCAGAGGGAGCCAGTGACAGGAGGTGCAGTGTCCAGCATAGGTGTAAAATGGCTACGTCTTCTTCAGCTGTTAGGATATAAAGGAACTGAACCTCGAAAACACGTAAACTGGTAAATTTGTAGAGACGGAGAAGGGATCACCAGCTGCCTAGGACTACAGAAGTTGAGAAGGGAATGGTTAGAGACTGCTCGTGAATTTAAGCTTTTTTTGAGAGGGCAATAAAAATGTTCTAAAGTTGATTGTGAATATTCTAGAAACACTTTAAATGTGTGAACTGTATGAGAATAATCTCAGTAAAGTCAAAGAGAGACCAACATACTTCCCAACTGTCATTCTTACCTCTCCATGTTTTTAAAGATATTGCATTTGTCATCTCCAATGGTCAGCTGGAAGGCCAAGGCCGCATGGTGGCTCTCCAGCACAGCAGTGTCATTGTACAAAATAGCCAGCTTGCTCCCAGCATTGCACAGGAAGGAGTTGGTCCTCCCTGGGTGATCTACATCGTGAATGGTGGCTGCAATGAGTGCAGCAACCTCATCAATTGGATCTAAAGTTTCCTGAAAACAAGAGAGCTTTTAGAAAGTGGGACATGACACTGAAGGAGGGGAAGCCTCCCGTGTACTTTTCTTTCCCACTTATTGCTTTACAGGACTAATATTTCTGATTTCTTACAAAAGCATACTGTGTAAGCAAATCCAGTTTTCCTATCTCCACTCTGAAATAGTAATATCTTTGCATATATATTTATTAGGAAGCGTCTGATTCTCAGAGTCTCACACAAGCTCAGGACTTATCAGAATACAGGGTGTTCTCAATAGATAGGAGTCACCTCTTCAGCCAGCCAATTAATCCAGCCTGGTCACACAGAAAGGTCTTTAGTATGAGATACTGACTTAGAGCAACATCAACTAATATGACTAAATAAAAGAGAAGTAATTTGGATGGGGTCTCACTCTGGTTCCCTGACTCGAGTGCAGTGGTATTATAGCTCACAGCAACTTCAAGTTCTTGAGCTTAAGTGATCCTCTTGCTTCAGTTTTTCTATTTTTAGTAGAGACAGGGTCTCATTCTTGCTCAGGCTGGTCTCAAACTCCTGAGCTCAGGCGATCCACCGGCCTTGGCCCCCCAGAGTGGTAGGATTACAGGTGTGAGCCACCACACCTGGCCTAAATGATAATTTTACAATTTTTACAATTAATCATCAATTAATTTTTCTTTTAAAAAGATCTATTTTAAAGCTTTTGAATCAGTTCAGATGTGTGCAGGACTTCTCTTTCTATTTGAAGTTTGTTTATTTCTGTGTTTTCTTTTTCTTGATTAGTTTGATTAGAAATTTATCTATTTTGTTATTTCAAAGAACCATTTTGGATTACCATTTTGCTCTTCCCAAGTTCTTTTCCTCCTGTTTTTTAAGGAAAGGATTTACAACATAAACCTTTAAATATTTCATTGGTATCATTCTACAAGGTTTGATACATAATGTTGTTGTTTTTTTTTTTTTGAGACAGAGCCTCAAGCTGTCCCTCTGGGTAGAGTGCCATGGCATTACAGCTCACAGCAACCTCCAACTCCTGGGCTCAAGCGAGTCTCCTGCCTCTGCCTCCCAAGTAGCTGGGACCACAGG